ACGTTCTAAGATTAGGGGTCACCCTATGGCTGTGTCTATGCCACATAAAACATTTTAATAGCTTATTGAAGTTAAGTTCTGTACTGAGAAATGTAATAGGTAACTACCATCAATATCACACTTGAAATTTAATAAGATTTTCATTCAGAGAAGAAAACAATACAAATAATTAAAACTTCTAGCAAAGTCAGCTAGAATTTTCTGACACATGTAACTTTAGCTTCTAAAGACTATATGCCTATAACCCCAACTATCTGGGACACTAAGGCAAGAGGATCAGTTTTGAGGCCAGCCTGCTTAACCTGGAGAGAACCTGTCTCAAAATAAAAAGAAAATTATACATGGGACCATTCCTTCGTACCATTTTTTAAAAAGTGCAATTTTACTTATTACTGAGGCTCTCTTTTCAAAATCTGTTTGTGTTGTACATTTACTCATAATCTGACAGTAGCAACATGTTAAGAATTTCCGTGGAAAAGTTATTCAGAAATACCATTTACACACATATATACTCTATTACAAAGATCAGGCCATTCATTATATTGTAACATGCTGGATATAAGTAGTAAACATTCTTTCACAAGTCTTATCAACTTCGTTGCAGGCAATCATAACCATAAACTTTTCAAAGATCTGCTGAAATTTACAAGCCATGCAAAAGTGGAAATTTCTTAGGCTTAAAGTATTTGTTAATTTGAATCAGCTAAACTGAATTAATAAAAATACTATTTTACAAAGTAAAAAAGGAATAACAAAAGACATACAAGATTATCACTGACTCCTTTCCTAGGTTCTATTTTAACAAATTTAAGACTATTTCTTAACTGTCCTGAGGACAATTTAAAGAAAACATTAGCTATGTGTATGGGGAGGAGTAAGTGAAGTGAAGTTCTGTACTGAGAAATGTAAGAGGTAACTCCTATACACACAGGAGTTCTTTAAACGTGATTTAAAGAAGAACACGGTGGCACTTGCCTGTCATCTTGGCTACTCCAGAGGCTGAGGCAGAAGGACTGCAAAGTCTAGCCTAGGCATTTGAGGGAGATGGTGTAGTTTGATGGCAGAATACTTGTGCAGTATGCGGGAGGCACAGGAGTCAATCCCCAATACCACAAACAAAATAGTAGTAGTAGTAGTAGTAGTAATAAACAGTAATGACAATAAAAATCAGTATGCCGTTCCTATTTGTAAAGAGAAAGCCATCACCAAACAGGACATTACTAGTCCCTTAATACAATCTCTCCTTCCTAGTAAACTTACAAAACTACAGCTAACAATTTTAATGAAAATCAAAATTTTATTTAGAAACTATAACCTCTAAAACTCAACTTTTAAAACTATTAATTCAATCTACTCCTTACATTGCCACTGAGTTAGTCTATTGGGAACGGTCCGTGTACCAAAACTAAATGAATACTTCGTCATGACTTCAGGGAGGCACCACTACTCTAAGAGGGCTGCAGATGCAAAAGCAAATAAACAAAGTAATACAACTTCAGCCCTGAGTAGTCACTGCATTTGTGTCAGAACACTACATTAAATGTCAACAGATTGGCAAATCTATCTGGTTAAGGCACTAAAACACCAACAACTATATTTCTTCAACATCTTCTAAAGAGAATACCACCAATTTTCTTTATAAATACTCAGAAAATCACATTTTTGCAGAAAAAAATGAAGTCCAAACAAGTATTTCATATCCTTGAAATCATGAACTTTCAAAACTTAAAATCTTATAAAACTGGTCAGCAGGTGTGGTGGCACATGCTGTAATCCCTGCATTTAGGAGACTGAGGTAGGAAGATCATGGTAAGTTCACAGCCAGTCTGGACTACCCAGGGAGTTCGAAGCCAGCCTGAACTACGTAACTTAGACCCTGTCTCAAAACAAACAAATCTGAATACAAGAAAAACTTTTTGATAAAAAAATGATAAATTCCATAAAGATTTTAAAATTTCAATGTCTTATAGTAGTGATCACTGCTTACACTTTCCATCGTTCTGTTAAAAAACAAAAATTAGTCCTAATACTTGGAGGAACTCTTAATTACTTTTCTGTCTTAAAAAAAGTCTCAGAATATTAATTTCCCTGCTTCCATAAGCATTTATAGTGGTATCTTGATTCACAAACTTCATTCTTTCCACAATTCTTTCTGGTCACAAATGGAACTGGATGAGAAACAGATCAAATTCAATAGTTAGGCTCAATGTTAACCTTATGGGGAAGTTTGATTTGGTTCTCAACTAATTTGGTTTGCAACCAGAATTGTGGAAAGAATTCAGTTTGTGAACCGAAGTACCACTGTATAATTTTTAGAATTAAGCATTGCTTAAATTAATTGGCAATGATGAATAATTTAGTACTCAGAAGTACTAAATTAGTACCAGGAAATGAAGCTGAAACTGCAGTACGATCTGGAAATTTATTTTAACATATCTATCTAATACAGTGTATCTGTCTAACATAAACATGCTTCCTTGTCATTTGTTTCTCCCAAAGGCAATCATTTACTTCTTCAAAATAAATTTGGTTGTCAGTCAAAAAACCACATACTTAAAAAAAAAAACAAAACAGACTTACAGTACTATTACTCCTAAATGAAGTTTTATAAACAGAGGGAAAAGAACACATAGTATATCTAACAGATGTTTCATTTGTCCCCAAATTCAATCCCTTTGTATAATTTTCAAACTGTGCTAATTTACATAATAAACCACAGGGGAAAATACAAGTTCAAATACCAAAAAGTATTACTCTAAGAGAAGAGCATATAAAAACACTGGATGAAGGAGATATGTATATATATATGTGAATATATATACACGCATACACAAACCATGAATTAGCATGTTCTACTTCCTATATAGTTAAGATGAACAAATATATACAAACATCACTTATGCTAAACAAGATAAAGCAAGGTAATACCCAAATGTAAAAAGGACTGAACAGTACACATAAATAAAAATCATACCCGTTTTACTAAAAGCAATGTAATAAAGATCTTGTTGACAGTTCTGTATCTACTTTTCAGCCTCATAACTTCAAAAGTAATATAAAGATTTTAAAAAACTTTTAAAGTAAAGTTGAAAAGACTAGCAAAAGGTTTTAAAACATCATATGAAGAAATACAGGATTCAGAACATGCATTTTTGTTGCTGTTTTTTTTTTGAGACACAGTCTCACTAAGTAGTGCAGGTTGGCCTTCAACTCCCTTGATCCTCATGCCTCAGCCTCCCAAGTGCTGGGATTACAGGTGTGTGCCACCACGCCCAGCAAGAACAGGGATTGTTTTTGATACAGAGTAGCAATATATAGTTCACAATGACCTTGAACTGTGTAGCACAGGCTGGCCTCAAATTCACAGCAATCCTCCTGCCTCAGCCTCCTGAGTGCTGGGATTACAGGCACATGCCACCACGCCTGGCCAGAATGGGGTATTTTAGGAGAAAGTTTAAGCGTCATGAAACAGCCAGTAAAATACATAAAAGGTCGTAAGGGTTAACTTTTTAAAAAATCACTCTGCAATTAGCTGGAATGTTTCCTAATAAAAAGAACAAATCAAAGACTAAAGAAATATTTTCTGTAAAACACTGGGAATAGATAGTAAAAGAGGTGCTAGTGTTTCTTTTCTCATGCTGCAATTAGAATTGCTTATTTAGGACAGACCAGGCAAAGCCCTGTTTGAAGGCAAGAATTAATTACAAGACCTACAATGAAGTGCATCTCAATTTTAAAATTTTAAGTGAAGAGCCGTGAGTGTTGGCACATGACTATAATCAAGCACTTGGGAGGCTGAGGCAGGAGGGTCACCATGAGTTTGAGGCCACCCTGGGCTACATAGTGAGTTTAAGGCCAACTTGATCTACATAAAGAGAACCTGTCTCAAAAAAACCAAAAACAAAACAAGAACACCACAGAAACCCTATGAAAAAAAATTTTAACTGGAAGAACAAAAATCTAACAAAATTATATAGTAAAAAAAATACAGGTGCTATAGAAAAAAATCAGAAATATCATATAGAACAAATGTTCTTATGATCAATGCTAAGAATTGTCCAAAATATTTTTTTATATTAGATTATATGGCAGCTACTGGGCATGGTAACACACACCTATAATCCCAGCACTCGAGGCTAAAACAGGAGGACTGCTATGAGTTCAAGGTCAACCTGAATTACACAGCAAAGACCCTGTCTCAAAAAACAAAAACAAAAACCCTGCAGTAAACTAAATAAACAAAGAAAAACATTGTTAAGAATCACCTGAGAAAGTTTTTCTAACTATGTAGTGACTTGCCTCGTATCCCTTTTGAATCGGGAAGTGTGCAGGGACAGGCAGAGGGATTAGGAAGAAGGGTGATGAATATATATTATGTGATAAACATTTATATATATGTGAAAAAATCCCGAGGTAACTGATACATTTACTGTCCACTATTTGCTGGGGAATTCTGTTTACATACAGGTGATATGCTATTATGGCCTAGAAACAATTTTGTCACACAAATTAGCTGAAATATACACCTGTATAAGGAGTGAGAGAAATAAGTAAGATACCCTACAATAAGCTGGTATTTCTTCCATATTTAAGTTAGTGAAGGAAAAATGTCAAAGTTTCACAGAAAGTTAGACTAAGGTATAGACTATAAAAAGCTGTTCAACATTATGTATAAAATTAGCTTAAAATTCAATTATAGAAAAAAATCCTAGTTCCTATTCATTCTACTACTCAAAGGTTTTCATAATAAAGATTTTACCACAAAAGATTATAAAAGCATTTAAAATACAATTTTATATAATTTTATTTGTACTTTAGAATTTAAACAACTTGCTGGGAACATCCTTAGGCAAGGTAGTCTTCTTTTATTTAAAACTAAACTTTTGAGTCAGGCTCACTATTTTTTTCAAGAGCAAGCAACAAATGTTAGCTGGAAATAGCCAACTTAAAGATTATTTGTGACATAGATTGGATTATGTGAGCCTACAGAGCCTCCCCACCTCTGGCTTCCCTGTGGAGGAGGGAGTCTTTGTGTGCTTTTCTGGGTTGGTTCCACTGAATTCATTACAATAGAGATGGACATTTGATATTCATAACGATCCAACATCTGAGCAATCTTCTTTCGGGACACACCATGTTTATTCCTCCTACCAAAAAAGACAAGGATTGTAAATCTTTTTTTCTTTTGGAACTTAGAGGTTTATAGATTAAATTATTTTAGAGTTACAGAATACAGATTTTAAATAATACTGTGCAAATAAACATTAGAAGATATTTCATTTACATCGTATACACAGACATTCAGAGTTGCTCCCTATAGCAAAATGTTCTTCACAAGATCTGGTCACCAGGCCTACTGAGCACATCCCCTTTCAATTAAAAAATCAAACATTAACAAAATAAAAAATGATGAGATAGTGTTTTTTGAGAACTGAAGAATAGAACAGATACTCATATAACTTGCAAAAAACAAGGTAAAAATATCACATTTTAGAAGTTATTTTAGGATAGTTTATGTAAAATTCAAACAACTTGTTATTTTTAATACCAAATTATTATTAGACACACAACAATTTAGTTTTTGTTTTTTGATTTTTTTGTACCAGGAATCAAACTCACGACTTCACACTTGCCAGGCAGGCGCTGTACCACTCAGCTATATCCCCAGCCCTGACACACAACAACTTAGACAGTTCTCGCAATGTTAACAAAAGACACAGTGTATAATATATGACTACACATACATGTATATATAAGTTTGAAAGAAGGCAAAATTAAATTATTATAGTAAGCCAGAAGCTGCTATGATAAAACTTTAAGTAAGAAAGAGACTACAATTACCAAGTCAAAATAGCAACTAGCTTTACAGGATGAAAAAAAAATCAGAGGAACATGAAGAGCTTCTGAGGTGCTGATAATGTTCTCATGACAAGTGTATAATTGTGGAATAAGAACTTTGTTAAGCTGTATGTATATTTTAGGACTCCTCTGTATACATATACTTTCATGTATATGAGTTTATGGCAACAAATTACTTAAAAATTATCTCTGATCTTGGAAGAACTTTGAACAATTTATCCTCTTAGTTTTCTGTAACTTGACTTGGACATGCAACACACAGGAAGATATTTTATACTTAATACTACAGTCCTCAATTTTCTAATGTCAATTCATTTTTCCTAGAAAGGGACCACAAAGGAAATATTAACTTTTAATATTTCTTACTCAAGATAAAGAAATAGTCCCTTGAATATAAATGAAGCTATAACTGTACATAATCTAACCACTCATTTATTAAGCATAACTCTAATAACTTTGGTATTTAAATTTGTTTTTTCCACCTCAAGTGTGATGCACACAGCAAGGCAAACTGTACCAGATGTTAGTATTTATGTATCTATCAATATATGAACACATAGCACACAAATAAGAAAGAGAAAATAACCAAAGGAATGAAAGGCAAAGGGGAAACAAATCAGTTGGAACACATATACAGAATATTTGCATGAGGACTGGGGTGCTGCTCAGTGGTAGAGTATGTGGTTGGACACACTGGGTTCAATCCTTAGCACCAAGGGGTAGGGGAGAACACCCTGAAGCTGGAAGAGATCAAACTAAGATGGAAATAAAAAAAGGTTTAAAAAACAGGTAGAAATGGCTGCACAACTTTATGAGTATTCTGAAAAACACTGAATTGTATACTTTAGGTTTTGGTTTATTTTTTCTTTTTCTTTTTTGGTACCAGGAATCGAACTCAGGACCTTGCACTTGCCAGGCAGGTGCTTATGCTGCTGGGCTACATCCCCAGCTGAACTGCATACTTTAAATGAGTGAACTGTAAGGTAGAATGCAAATTATACCACAACAAAGCTATTACCAAAACAGGGGAGGAGACAGTGAAGAAGAAATGAGTGACAGGAACAGCAGGGAATGAGGGAAAAGGATAAAAGTTAACACAGACAATCTGAACTGAAAAAGTACTAGAAATCCACAATCTCTCACCACAAATTGTGAAATCTATTAAAGTACAAAAACTCAATTTTCTGTTAACTTAGATGGCAAGAAATCTAAGCAGCTTTGTACTCATTTGGCAGCACAATTTACTCAAAACTAACATTATATAGTGTAGAATCTTTATTTACTTAGACTGTACAGTCACTATTTGCTACAGAAATATTAAGATGTTTGACTGTGAATACTGCCCCGAACTCCAGCAGGGGCAATGACACTATGGAGTTACACAAGCCAGAAAGAAAAAGAAAATAACTAAAGGAATGAAAGGCAAAGGGGAAAGAAATTAGTTGGAACACACACACAGAGGCAGTAACTCCTAAAATCCAAAGAAACTGAATTCAAAAAACACCCAACTGATTCTAAGGATCTTGGTATGGGATTAGGGATCTGCAATAGGAAAAATGGAAAAGAAATAGCAAGATGAAAGGACAAGGTGAAGAAGGTGATGATGTGCCTAAAACAGGAAGGTGAAAGGGAATGGAAAATGACGCCAAGTGGCTTAGCTAAAAATAGCCAAGGGGAAAAGTGCCGATTTTATCCTTAAAAGTTTCTTGGACCTACATTCAAAAACTGTGAAATGTGTATCACATTAAAAGAAAGAAGCATTTAACAAGGAAAATTTAAGAAAATTTAACAAGGTAAGGCACCTCAAAAACTTTTAAGTCAATGTTCCTCTTAACAGAAAATAAGAAACCACAGTACCTATACACAAGTAACGAAGATGACAAGCAAAAGCTAGGAAAGAAATTAATCATGTAAAGGCAAAACCAAAGGAGAAGGAGAAAGGATTCAATACAAAAAAAAAAAAAAAAATCGAGTGCCTTACTTTTCTAATTCTTCAGGATCAAATTTCCACCAAGTTTCAGGTTCATGAAACTCTACTCTGTATCCTTTTCCTATGGCCTATACAAAGAAAAGGCAGAAAACAAAAACCCAGAGAATCGTTCTTGAAGTAAAAAGAGGGCAGACAATTTCATTTAGACAATATTTCTAAATGTCTTCAACCAAGAAAAACTCTACTTTACAAAATAATATAATTTATAAAATGTTAAGGCTGCATAACTGGATAAATCCCAATTATCATCCTCAAATCCAGGAATAACAAAATGAGCACATTCCTTAATATGTATCATTCCCAATTTTTAAAAAACTAGGCAAACCAAGAAATCTTTTTAGAACAAAGACAAATGCTTTAATAAAGATCAAATGAGACCAAAATTTTAGAATATGAAAAAATTAAAAAGAATGAAAAACAGATTCATATTTACCATTTCTACATATGGTTTCATTTCCCAAGCTTGTGTATTAGTGTTGTCTATTATAACTGGAGATCTCCCCTGATCAATAGCTTGCTTTGCTGAAATAAAAAATAAAAACAAACAAAAAAAATAGAACTATTAAAATATACAAAACAAAATATAAATATTTATTAAGAAATATGCTACATCTTCATATTTAAAACCAAAACTACAATCTTGAGTCAATGCCATGAAAAATAAGGACTCCAGCAGATTAAAAGGGAATTAGGAGATGTAAGATACGCCATATATATTCTCTAGACTGGATGCTGGTTTTGACAAACTGGCTGTAAAAGACATCTGGGGGCATGTTATTTTATGAATTTATAGCTAATGAAGCCTTTAAGCCAAAGCTAAATTTTATTTACAGGAAATAGAGGAAAGAATGGAACAAGTTGCAAAGGATTCAGATTAAGTATGAGAAAAGGTAAGGATTTACTGAGACAAAGTGTTAAATGAAAATATCAAGTTATGAGGCAATAGTCAAATACTATCCTAATTAGTTCAAAATATGGAAGGAGAAGGAAGATGTACTAACATGTAAGTGTTAATCTGTAAATGGGAACATTTGTGCTTTTGAAATGAGTTTATATATTTAAAAATATATATAAATAGAAATATATATTTATATAAATATAAATATGGAAGGAGAAGGAAGATGTACTAACATGTAAGTGTTAATCTGTAAATGGGAACATTTGTGCTTTTGAAATGAGTATATATATTTAAAAATATATATGTTTTATTTTAAAATGGGACAAATAGAGTCTCAAGGAACCACAAGTATTTGTAGATGTATATAAAAATGTTTGTTGTTTTCTTTGTTCCTGTATTTATCTTACTTTTTAATACCACCAGGAAGGACTTAGCTAGGAGTACTATTTTAAAATCAACTCCCAAGTGGGAAAAGGAGGGTGAAACAAATATCCCACTGATAGAGTTTAGATCCTCTAGCTTTGCTCAATCAGATAAAAGAGAAAATTTTTTTTAAGTTGTGCATAACTGGCTTTTAGTAGCGTGGTGCCAGCTGGGGGAGGGGTGCAGACTGGGTTCAGGAAGGGCCCTACACTCCAATCCCAGGTGGCCTTAGCTGGGATTGCCTGTCTCCCTGTGCATCTGTGGGCTCAGTCTAGCCACATCGGTTGGTGTACACCACCAACTACAGGACTGTGGACCCAGAACCAAATAGGCAGGACATGACTGTGGTGTGTCCTGGCTCTCGCTGCCTCTGTGCGCACTTTTGGCACCAGAAGTTCACCCGATGCAAACTGCACCTGTGCTCAAAATCTGGGCAAAAAT